AATCACCAAATCAAGGCTTGACTATGGGCCAGTGGTGTGGTTACCTCTGACTACAAGGGGGGCACTTACAAATGTGAAATTGAGATTGATAAGCACTAAGCAGTAGGTGCATTCCAGTTGACCAAGTGCCCTGCAAAGTGGACTTAACCATTTTGTGTGTGTGTGTGTGTTTTGTGTGATGGAAGCAGTAAACATGGTTGTGTTTCTCTGAATGGTATTCTTTCAGAATAATTTAACTGTGTTTCTCACAACACACTTTAGATATATTTTACAATAGAATGGAATAGAAAGAAAATGGATGACAGACTTCACCCACATAGAATTTATGTGGGTGGGCCGCACTAGTTAAAAATCACCAAATCAAGGCTTGACTATGGGCCAGTGGTGTGGTTACCTCTGACTACAAGGGGGGCACTTACAAATGTGAAATTGAGATTGATAAGCACTAAGCAGTAGGTGCATTCCAGTTGACCAAGTGCCCTGCAAAGTGGACTTAACCATTTTGTGTGTGTGTGTGTGTTTTGTGTGATGGAAGCAGTAAACATGGTTGTTTCTCTGAATGGTATTCTTTCAGAATAATTTAACTGTTTCTCACAACACACTTTAGAAATATTTTACGCTCACTACCAGGTGACTTCACTGTTATATATGTGAGTGCTTTTCATGGGTTGTGGAAGACAGACGTGTTGAGACATGTTTTATGTGTGCACTCTCAAACATGTTTATGATACAGGCAACTTTGAAGAAAATTAGTGTATTGCATAAGGAGACAGAACTGCAGGCCAAGAATAGGAAAGTTAGACTTCAGCTTAAAGGGATGGTTTGCCCAAAAATGAAAATTCTGTCATTAATTACTCACCCTCATGTCGTTCCAAACCCGTAAGACCTTTGTTCATTTTCGGAACACAAATTAAGATATTTTTGATGAAATCTGAGAGCTCTCTGACCCTCCCATAGACAGCAATGCAACTGAAATATTCCCAGACCCAGAAACATAGTAAGGACATCGGTAAAACAGTCCATGTGACATCAGTGGCTCAACTTCAGCTTTGCGAACCTACAAAAATACTTTTTGTGCGCAAAGAAAACAAAAATAACGACTTTATTCAACAATTCTTCTCCCCGAGTTACCATCTTCTGCCATTTTGGAGAGTACCATGACGCATACTTATGCTTTCCCCTGAACGTAATCAATGTAGCTTCGTAAAATTGAAGTTGAGCCACTGATGTCACATGGACTGTTTTATCAATATCCTTACTATGTTTCTGGTTCTGGGAATATTATATTTCAGTTGCATTGCTGTCTATGGAGGGTCAGAGAGCTCACAGATTTCATCAAAAATATCTTAATTTGTGTTCCGAAGATGAACGAAGGTCTTACTGGTTTGGAACGACATGAGGGTGAGTAATTAATGACAGAATTTTCATTTTTGGGTGAACTATCCCTTTAAGCTTAGAAATCAAAACTATTCTACTGCTCGTCTATACCATATGATTGTTGCTGTTGTTGATTTTCCTGCTGTATCTTAACTGTAGTGTCTTTGAGCTATGGAAAGGTGCTATATAAATTAGGCTAAACATTATTATTAAAAAAAGAAAAGAAACCAAAGTGCAAAATACAAGCATATAGCATATGTAAATACAGTGCAATTTTATCTGATTTTACTGTGAAACCAGGAAATGCCTGATTCACGAGGCATTCAAGAAGCATTAAAAAGACTCTCAGTCTCAACTGTCATTTCTGGTCAAGGCCATCCAACACTCGCCTTCATGTACTCAATAAAGGGCTGTGTGGTTACATTAATGGGAGAATGTGCAAAACAACAACAACAAACACTCCTCTACAGGATATTAAACTAAGATAAACTATTTTGACTATTTGGATTAAATGAGTACAACACAATGAAACAAGGAGCTCTGAATACATTCAGTGGCACTCTATCTCCTGCATTATAGCCTACATGTTATCTGTGTCTCACTTTTTATCATTCTGATTGTCACTTAAATTCCCCTTCTGCTATTCAAATAGAAACTGTTTGATTAACTTTCTCTTTCAATTCATATTGCACTTAGGCGTGCAGTTATTGTTTGAGTGAAGAAGCATTTTTGTAGATTAGAATTTAAAGATTTTTCCTCTTCGTGACGTTTTGCAGAAGTTGCTGACACCAAACTGTTTTAACACCTCTTTGACTGGAAACCAGAAGAGATGCAGTGTGAATCTCACTTCTTTTTTTGTTCTGTTTGTCTCATAACTGCCATTTGTCATAATTTATGTTTAAAAGACTCTGAATAGACTAAGGTTTTTCTGGTTTCATTTGTGGTGTTTCTCATGGCAGATGATATCTGCTGTCTGTGAGCTGTGTGTGAATGTCTACAGGGACACAACTGAAAGTTTAGGCTGAAGGTCAGGCTGGGGAGAGTCAGGCCCTGTTGTATACTCTATACTTTACATAATGCTTAAAATAAGGCATTGATTTGAACAAGGAAAATGAATCTCTATCCAGTAATATTCATATTTTATCCTTTAGTGCTTTGAAAATCACTCTCTGTAACTTCAATAGAGGACTTTAATTCTATTGTTGGCCTGTTCTTTTGATTTAAGCCTTGTTTAATATGCTTAAATGGCTGCATTTATTTGATTAAAAATACAGTAAAACAGTAATTTGTTAAATAGTATTGGTTTAAATAGCTGGTTTTTATTTTGATCAATTTTAAAATGTAACTTTGCTGATTTTTTCAGTGGCCTTTCTTCCAGTCTTCAGTGTTATGTGAACCTTCAGAAATGATTATTTTTGATGAAAATAATAAAAAAAAATAAACATTTCTTACTATTATGAGTGTTGAAAACAGTTGTGCTGCTTAATATTTTTGTGGAAACCGTGGTATGCAATTTTTTCAGGATTCTATGATGAATATAATTTATTTGAATTTTTTTTGTAACATTGTAAATGTCTTTACTGTCACTTTTGCTCAGTTTAATGAATCATTGTTGAATACAAGTATTAATTACTTTTAAACAGAAGTGTGTATATTGTTAAGTAATTGTTAAATTGTAATTTTGTAACTGTCGTTTCTCTGTGTAATTTGCCCTGTAGGATTCTGAGGCAGCGGTGTTGGTGCGTCCGCAGTCTAAGGTGTGGTGCTGGTGCTTCTGTCTGGGATTGGCTCTCGTTCTCTCTGGCGTAGTGGTGGGAGGAGTCTACCTATATAGATACCATGTGCTTGAGGTGAGATAATTGATGTAACCATAGTGATATCAAAAACAAAACATCATAACATGTAACATGTGTCATCTTGCATTGTTTATCTTCATCTTGATTAATTTCTATAACATTTCATAATCAGTCTAAGCCTTGAAGCAGTGATTTTCAGCTGGTGGGTTGTAACTTGTGACCCAGAAATGGGTCACAGATTTTCACTGAAATGCAAAAGCAACTATAATCGAGCATAGACAGAATGTACAGAATGTAGACACAGATACATGGAATTAACAAAGTGATTATTACAGCACTGAGCACACTGGCATCCAAGGTGGAGTATGCAGTTTAGATATATAATCAGTGGAGAGAGTAAGGTTGTTAAATTGACTTTCCTTTGCTACAGATGCAGGAGATCGTGGCTGGCAGAGCAGATGATAGGAAGGATACACACACCTCTTTGCAATTGGTGAGTATAGAGGTAATCCCTTTCAACAGGTTTGTAGGCAGAGAACACTGGTGACACAAAGGAAGGGTAGACACACTGGAGACAAATCGCTAGAGGTAATGCTGGAGTTCAGGAAGTCAGGTAAGTAGTCCACTTTGTACAAACGAGGCCGGACAATGAGGTGAGACGAGGTGTGTGCGTTTGTAGCAGTCCTAATGAGTGAGCAGGATGAGTAGCGGGTGTGTGTGATCAGAATTTTGGTGCTGGCAATTCTGTGACAGTACTTCCCCTATGTCATGGTGGTCGACCTCTTCCTCGGGGCGAAGGACGATCAGGGTGAGAGTCGTGGAAGGCTGTGAGCAGGGCTGGATCAAGGATATTGTCTCTGGGGACTAGGGTTGGGTACCGTTCACATTTTAACCGGTACGGTACCTGTATCAGTACCTGAATTTCGCTGACAGTACCCAACGGTAACTTTTTTCGGTACTTTACTCTCTGAGTCTGTGTAATTACAAAAACATTTATTTCAGTGAAAAAATAAGTCCAAAAGTCTCAATTTCAACATTTTGAACAACAGGGCCCTACAAACTTTTCCTTTTTTTTTTCCCCCAGAAATTCTTGTTTTAATTTTTCTGAAAATCAAATGAAGGCATTACACATTTATTTTAAACCAAATGAAAATTAAACCCTTTTATTTTTTGGCAAACAAACTGAGGTTTACTGTTGAAATTAATACATGGAAGAAAAAAAAAATAATTTAATAGGCTAATAATTGTATTATTTTTTTTCTACAATTAAGTGATTAATCTGGTTGTAATATTTATTTTTATCTAAATTTGATAGAAAATTGAATTTTTAAAGATGTACATTATACTGTACAAAAGTAATACAAGAGTAATATATTTCTGTTACATGTTAAACCGTACTTTTATTTTGACAGGTTGCCATGACGTTTCTGTGTGTAATACACAGAATGATGATGCTAGTTTTCTCAAATGAAACCGTAAAATTCTCGTGAAGCAGCTCTAGGGATAAAGTTGTGTTCATGCCGTCATATAGTGAGACGCAGAGGCCAAAAATCATTGTGCGCATCACACGTGCTTCAGTATTCGTGTAGTAAACAAAACCGTCCGTGTTTTCGCAGAAACCATATGGCCCTAGTAATGTAACCACACTTCAGAACATTTCAGCTTGCCCTGTGTGTTGTTTGAACGAGTTGCAGGGGTGACATCACGTCACAGGGTCTCTCTTTCTCTCTCTGTAGCGTATGCGCCTAGATGCGTTCTCAGGTACCGAAATTTGTCACCGATTGATTTAACGTGAATCGGTACTCGGTAGTACCGACGCATTTCGGTCGGTACCCTTAAAAGTACCAAGTTCGGTACCCAACCCTACTGGGGACCCATGAGTGCTCCTCTGTGCCATAACCTTCCCAATTGACCAGATACTATACTATACAATACACATACTACAACCATCCACTACAGTGCTGGGAGTTCAGGATCTCTCTCACTCTGTACATGGCTCCGTCTTCCAGGGTTAGCTGGGCCAGGCTCTGTGGAGACAGAAACAGGTGGATGATATGGTTTATGGAGTGACACATGGAATGTTGAATGGATTCTGTAGTGTGCAGGAAGGTGCAGTTGATAAGCGACTGGGTAGATCTGTCAGGTGATGGTGAAGGGGCCAATGTATCTGGAAATAAGCTTCTTGCATGGCACTCACATCCTAATGTCTTTGGTGGACAGCCAAACCTGTCCAGGCTGGAAAGTTGGAGTTCTGTCCATTGGATGTCCGCCTGGATCCATTGGTGGTGCACTGCCACTGTGAGTGAATGTCCCATTCCCTTTCGGTCTCTCAGAACCACAAGTCAACAGATGGGACAAGTGATGGTTTCCCAGACCACTGGAACAAAGGAGGCTAGTAACCGAGCATGCACCGTAAGAGAGTGAGTCCAATGGCAGACTGATAAAGGGAACTGGAGCCTAGGAACTGGTTCCAAGAGTTCTGGTAGCCATGGCAGAAGGTTCGTAGGATAGGTCCAGTCTCCTGGATCTCTCTCCCCATCTGCCCATTCGATTGGGGATGGTATTCAGATGAGAGGCTCAGTGTCACACCTAGGAGGGTGAAGAAAGCTTTCCATACCTTTGCAATAAACTGGGGACCCCAGTCTGATACTATCTCTTTAGGAATCCAGAAAACATGAAAGACACGATTGAAGACGAGTTCTGCAGTTTGCATTGCAGTGGGAATCTGTTTGAGAGGAAGCAGATCACATGATTTATAAAGTCGATCAATGACAACAAGAATGCATGTGTTACCATCAGAGGAGGCCAGGTCTTTGATGAAGTCCACTCCTAGGTGTGACCACGGGCGATTGTGAATGGCAGCAGATGGAGCTTGCCTGTTGGTAGATGGCTTGGGCTCTTTGAGATGGCACAGTCAGAGCAGCCTTGAAAGAACCTTCTCACGTCCCTGGCCATGTGGAGCAGATGATAGGAAGGATACACACACCTCTTTGCAATTGGTGAGTATAGAGGTAATCCCTTTCAACAGGTTTGTAGGCAGAGAACACTGGTGACACAAAGGAAGGGTAGACACACTGGAGACAAATCACTAGAGGTAATGCTGGAGTTCAGGAAGTCAGGTTAGTAGTCCACTTTGTACAAACGAGACCAGACAATAAGGTGAGACGAGGTGTGTGCGTTTGTAGCAGTCCTGCTGAGTGAGCAGGATGAGTAGCAGGTGTGTGTGATCAGAATTCTGGTGATGGTGAGCGCTGTGATTGGCTGATGTTGGAGCCTGGCAATTCTGTAACAGCAAATACTTCAAAATCATCTGCCACTTGATAGAAGCTAGCAAAATTAGCCACAAGCCAATATGCAAAGATCCCGTGACTTGCCCTCATCCTCAAAAATCACAAAATTATGCAAGATTCAACTTAGACTGCATAGCACTGAGAGTAAACATGTATGTGCAACAGTGCAAGCCATTTTACATGTTGGCAAGTTCTAAGAAACTAGTCACTAGTGTATTTAAAATGTGAAAAAAACGTCTCTTTATAAAGTGAACACATCTTGAGAGAAAGTCACAAATATTCTTCCAGAAAAATGCAGAATTTTTCAGACAGCAGGACATTTAGATCTGTACTTTTTTTTCTGTATCGAGCTTTTTTCCCCTAAGACACCATAGTATTGTTACGCTTATGTGTCATGCACCTCCCACAATGAGCAAATAATTAATTTGCCTTTAGATAAGTGTACATTTTGTTGGTACCAAACTGCTCTTTGAAATGCAGTTGTAAATTTGTGTTAATGCTGTATGTGTTTATAACACTAGGAGGAGCAGGTGTTCGTCTGTGGGTTGAAGTACTTTGAGGAAGACTATGAGTTTGATGAGGAGGTGGAGGTTGAGGCGCCGCTGAGGCTGATTGAAGAGAATGTGAGTTTTTTCGAAGACGATGAAGTGGAGCTCATCAAAGTAGCAGTCCCTGAGTTCGCAGACGGCGATCCAGCTGGCATCCTGCATGACTTCACCATGGTACAAAAATACACACACACACACACAGTGTTTAGCTATAACCACCATAAACATATTACCAGTCATGCTGCTGTATTTGTATCCATTATAAATTGAACAGGGATGGACTGGTTTTCTGAAATTTTCAGTTTCTGAGATTATAGGTTGCAAAACATCACAATTTTTTAATGTAAAAAAAAAAGTCCCACAGAACCCTAATAGCCTGACATATTTACATTACTGGATAATCAATATGGGTTTGTCAAGGACTAATTCTTTTAGTTTTACTTTTGGTCCTCCCTCAATCTTGAATATTTTGTTACATCTTTCATTCTTCTAAAATAGTTTTCTTGAATGAATTAAAGTCTGTATGTTTGTGTCAATAACCCTGTGTGTCATTCTGTGCTGTCAGAAACTGACTGCTTACCTCGACCTGAATCTGGACAAATGCTACATCATCAACCTGAACACATCTATTGTCATGCCGCCCAGAGATTTCCAGGAGTTCCTGGTCAACATCAAGGTAACCAGCCACATTAATAACAGGAGATTCTGTGAATTTGTGTCAGTAGGTGGGTCTTGTGTTGGCGTGAATGTGTTTTTCACACCAATGCATTTCAGACGTTAAGTTGATGTCTGTGTGTGTTTTTGCAGGCAGGAATGTATCTTCCTCAGACATACCTTGTGCGAGAGGAGATGATGATTACAGAGAGGCTGGACAGCACCAGTGATCTGGGCTATTACATCAATAAACTGTGCAAAGACAAAGACACGTACAGACTGCAGCGCAGAGAAACCATACTGGGTAAGTGTACACAAACAAACCATTTGATAAGACTTTGTTTACAGTAAACAGTGTTTACATCTCTCCACCATCACAGTGGATCTCATTTTCAAGTTTTAAGCACAAATAAGTGGTGGAGGCACAGTATTTCGTCTCATGTTCACCGTATAAACAAGTACATTTCAAACTTCTGAAAGCTGAATGTGCTCCACTGCAGGTATGCAGAAGCGTGAGGCTCTGAACTGCCATACGATCCGCCATTTTGAAAACAAGTTTGTTGTGGAGACTTTGATCTGCGAGCCATGAAGAACATGAACCCATGATCTACAGCTCTTCCTTTCATTCAGTGAAAATAATTTCTTTTGTGCCTGCTTGTTTTTTCATAGGCCTTTTTTTCACATATATTTTTTTTAAATCTAGAATGTGAAATTGTTTTTTTTCTGCACAAAGAGGTATATTATATTTGAGTGTACATGTAATGAGTGTCTTATGCTATTTTATGAATATTAGGCCTAATAAAGGGACATATTGTGCACAAGAACAAAAAGGGATTAACAATGATTTTAGCCTATATAGAAGCCCAATCAGTTTAGACAGCAAGTAATTTAATAATTAAGAGTTTATTCCATGAGCTTGCTGAAAAAGTATGATTTTTTTTGTCTTTAAAAAGTGTTTCTGTTGTATTCAACATTTGCAACATCTACTGTATTTCAATTTGATCCTGTTCAAAGGTTTCAGCAAATTAGTGTATAATCTGGATCACAATGTTGCAGCGTCACAATTTGAAGTATTCTTGAATTTGCGTTTAATTTGTAGATCTATTTCGAATTACCATACAAACAGAACACTTCCTTTAAAATGTTCCTATCTGAAATGACTTTTTGTTCTTTGCTAATTTGTATATAAGCTAAACACTCTTCTGTCTTTAGGCACAAGCTCCATATAAGAAAAAAACAATAAACAGAAAAATCAGACAAAATGCTTTTGCTATGTTCATGTGTTATTTTGTTAGGTTTGTCAGTATGCACTACTATTCAAATGTTTGGGGTGGATTTTGCTTTAAAGAAATACTATTTTCCGTCTCGAGCGACTGTAAAGGCATAACTTTGCCAGCGCTGCTTTTGGTGATTAGTTGAAGGCGATGTTAAAATATTTCATCTTATCCCAGCTTAATATGCAGAGACAACTATAAGTAAGCACTTTGTAGCTTTATTCCCCTGAAATGTAAATACTGAGACTGTGTGGCACTCAGCATTGAGAGAAAAAGTCATTTTTAGCAGGTATGGCTCAGGTGATTGGCTCAAAGACTTTCTTGAGCAAAAAACGGCAGGAAGCAGGTCACAATACTTCTGGGGAACCTGCCAAACTAGCAGCTTCCTCCTGGCAATACGGCTTTAAGATCTCATTTGCCCCCTCTGGTGGTTAAAGCCCATTCTTGCATTGTTAGACTACATATTAAATCCTAAAAAAAGAGAGAAACAAAAACACAAGAAACTGATCATACTAAGCAGCACTCACTCACCAGCTGACCACAATAACACGCCTTGAATTGTTAAAATGGCTTTTAAAGATCCGTCACGTCCACACTAGCAAACCCCATGGACTGTCAAGCTAAGTTCATGAAGAAGGCCTGCCTGTAGGCTTATGTACTTTTCCCTAAACATCGTAAAAACAAAACACGTATGTCTCAGTTATCATAACTGAAATGTAATTGTTGACTGGCAGCTGTGGTAGTAGATTCACTCATTTAATTAAAAAGGCCATTTGAAAAGGGGAAATTTATTTGAAGACACTGGACTGAGGATGTATAAATTTCAGCATTCATAAACAAGATGGCTGACAGCATTTGTGACCTGTAGAGTTTACTTTCAATACAACACCAGTCAGAACCCTGAACAGCTCCTTCAACACTGGTTAACCAGCAACGGCTAAAGACAAATGACATGAGGGCTTCCGTCAGAAGAGCAGAATGTAAATGCCAAACTGAAGATCTTCTGCTCGATTTCTCGAGGAGCTTCTCATAAGCACATTCTGACGAAGCCCATTGATCTCCAGAATTAACATACTATTCTTGGTAAGACAAGGAGAGGAAGGCAAGTAAATAAACCAATTAAAAATGGTTGACATTTCGAGAGGGAAGATCACCCCTTTTGAAAGTACATATCTGTGAAACCAAATGTAGCTTTCTTCTTCCTATAAAGAAACAAGCACAAAGCATGGTATACTAGCTATGTCTGCATTTTGTGGTCACAAAATTGGATTTATTTGTACGAGATACAAAAATGTAAACATTGCAAAATAAATAGTTAAAACAAGTGACGCAGGACCTATATTTATGCTCATGATCCCAACATGAACTGATGCACTTGTCTTGCTTGCATTTTCAAGTGCAAAAGCATGATGACAAAAACAAAAAAAACAATCTAGGATTCAAGTAACAGAAAAGACAGACTAATGATACAAATATACTATTTTACAAGGTAGTGATAATTCCCAATTTTACAAAATGTACACTTATAATATTGACAAATTTCTTAATATTTTGATATGCTGTTATTGGGTATAAGTCGGTGTAGAAGCGCACAGCTCTCAGCGCTGCAGTCTCTGTGTTTTTGGATGGGCTATGTGACCTCCATGGCGACTATGGTCTCTGATAATCCGTTGAGAGCCAGTCTCTCTGGTTCGTGATTCTCCCTGCAATAGCAATAGAACATATGATATATTATTTAAACTTTTCATTCTATATTTGAAATTGAAAGATACACTAAACAAACATTTTTTTTTTAAACAATACATTTATTCAGCAAGGATGCATTAAATGTCATTACTGTCACTTCTGATGATTTTTATTACGTTACTTGTCAAATAAATTCTGTCCTTTGAACTTTCTATTATCAAAAAAAATCATGGTTTCCACAAAATATTAAGCAGCAAAACTATTTTTAACATTAATAAGAAAAAGAGCATAAGAAACGTCTATCGAAAGCATAAAATCCCAAACTTTTGAACAATAGTGTATATTTTTATTCTAAAAAAAATATTACATTTAAATGCCGTCCCAAAAAAAAAATAAAAGGAAAAATAACTGTAAAGTGAATAAGAATAAGCGCTGTGTCTGGGTTCAGACCTGGCAATGTCGATGGCACTAGTGGGGGTGACTTTGGGTACCCGGTCCAGACTGTTAGCAACACTGGCCAACTTTAAGGCTGAGGGTGAAGGGGCGCACAGGCGTGCACTGTGGTGCGTATGGGCAGGTGACACAGCGCTCACGGTGCTCAGGTGCCTGTGGCCGTGAGGGAGGGATGCATTCGTCATCCGGACTAAAGTGCCTGACTCACCACCACCACCTCCACTCTGTACAGAACGGTTCAATTTGGCTTGTCTAAAGCTTCCTGCAGGAGAGAGAAGAATCATTTCAATAATCGATTTAAGTACCCAAATATGCTTAACTTTCTTTAAATTAACCACCAAACAAAGAGTTTGATATAAGTCTCCAAATAAATTTAGGTCTCATTAACAGTTTTGTTATTATTCCCCCACTAAGCTATATAGTATAGCTATAAAGCATTTTTAGTTTTAAAATATTGGGACTAAAACATTGCAATAGAACTACTGAAAATTTTAGATTTCAAATGACATGAAGTTGCACTTGCCTGTATTAGGAAGGACGCCATTGACACTAGCAATCTGGGGCCTGTTTTCATTGTTGGGAGTGTTGACCACAGCAGAGGCAGCAAAGTGTGCACTAGCCGAGTCCAGAGTCTTAGACATGCAGTCAGATGACGCCGTGTTCTGTAGAAGAAAAACATTTTTGATGAATTCATAATTACAGAACAGAATGGGAGTGAGGTTAAGCACCATAATGCCTGTCATTTAGTGTATAAACTCACAGGCAGGTGTGTGTGCAGTTCTGGTGCTGTCGAGTTCTGCTGGAGTTCTTGCTGCTGTAACTGTTTGTGCATCTGAACCAGCTGCTGCTGATGGGAGTGAAACTGTTCTTCTGTGAATCCACCTGCATGTGCAAGAATATAGAGCATAAATTGATGCTCTACAGATTTAAAGAGATTTAAACCAGCAATTTCATTTTTTCCCGCTAGGTGGCAGTAAAGTAACTGATGTACTAAGGAAACCATTAACACTAACATTTTTTTTTTTTTTTAATGTACCACTTCTTCAGCATATGCATTAAATTGATCAAAAGTGACAGCAAGAGGCTTTAAATAAATGAATAAGATAAACATGTTACTGACTTTTAACGGTAGTATACATGTGTAATGATCAACATTGCACTCAGCCATTTAATGTAAATACGTGCAATTGTGCTTGTTAAATGACAACGGGTTCAAGGAATTATGATGTGGCCCAAATAGATTCAAGGTAAACTATTTGCATAAATACACTGATAGGGCAAAACACAATTGAATGCATGAAAATAACGTAGCTGCATTATTGCCAGAAAAATCTAAAAACTTGCTCTGCATACAGACTTCGTTCACTACTGAGAGCCGTGAGAGCTGAGTTTTATGCATAGTAGGGCTGCTTGATTATGACAAAAATCATAATCACGATTATTTTGGTCAATATTTTAATCACGATTATTTAACACCATTATTAGTGGGTCATAGGACCAAAACTTTATATGAAAGATTTATTTAAAGACAATATAAAGCCATATATATCAAATATATTTTTTCTGTAAATAAGGTTACTATGACATCTACATTTTAGAGAGCGAAATGTCACAATTCTCAATACCACAGCAGAGTACTAAGGTATAGCCTAATTTACTTTAATCCAATTTACTGTTACACATTTATTTTCATTCTCACCAGTTTACGTCCATTTATTACATAACCGACGAGGGTTTACGTGAATAATAACTAAGTGCCGCGTTTTGACACATTTGTGTGTATTTGACCATTTAGGTGCTAAAAGATGACTTTACAGTACGTGTTCCGTTCCGTCTCTGAGCACATGCACAGAAATCTTCCCAAGGAACAGTGCAAGTTCTCGTTCGTGCTTTTAAAAACATGAATAAATCATCCCATTTTGCAAAAGTCACACAACATGATTTTACTGATTTGCACGTGAAATTGGGCTTTTATGGAGGAGCAAAAGCGCACCTCTGAAAAATGGGGCAGAATGGGGCGCAATAATTGTTTTATCTTGATTATTGTATTTCGATTAAAGGGTTAGTTATAGCCTAGGGTTGGGTATCGTTTGGGGTTTTTTTCCGATACCGGTGCCAAATCAATACTTTTAAAATGGTTCCGGTGCCTGAACCGATACTTATTGAAAAATAAGTAAATAAAAATTCCCCCCAAAAATGATGGATTGGCCATCAGCATATAATATAAACACATGTCTAGTCACAGAAGTAGGAACTCATGACCCTCCAGCAAATCCCTTATATGGACAAAGGAATCACTATTATAGCTGTAACTGAGTAAACAGAACATATAAACGTTTTGAATGATAAAACAAAGACAATAAACACTCGACTGCGACAATATAGTTTATCTGTGTTATTCAAGCCATCTCTGCTATTTTCATAATAATTAAGTATATTTATAATCCGCTGCTAATTGAGGTATTCTTTTTAAAGTAGCCTATGGAACATATTTCTGCAAAGGCCTCCTCTAGCGAATCGATGTGTCTTTGTAAGAAAAATAACCATATTTAAAACGTAATAATCAATTTAATCTAGCTTGCGCTCACTGTTGTACACAGAAGCAGCTCCGGGCGGATGTTCTGGTGCTGTCGAGTTCTGCTGGAGTTCTTGCTGCTGTAACTGTTTGTGCATCTGAACCAGCTGCTGCTGATGGGAGTGAAACTGTTCTTCTGTGAATCCACCTGCATGTGCAAGAATATAGAGCATAAATTGATGCTCTACAGATTTAAAGAGATTTAAACCAGCAATTTCATTTTTTCCCGCTAGGTGGCAG